GCTTCCGGGCGCGTTGCCTGGACGCGGTTGCCGTGGCAGCCCGAGCTGGAGGCTTTCCCCGCGCGCCCGCGCCCAGCCTGGCGGCGCCGCCCCTCCTCCCTCCTCGTTCCCACACCCAAAATAGCCTCTCCTCGTCGCTGCTGTTTCCCACAGAGCTCTCATCCAAGCCTCTTGGAGTTGACGGGGCGGGGATTTCGCTTATTGGAAAATAAATCCTGTTGTAGGCTGGTTGACTTATAGGGAGAGGTGTTGAAATGGTGCCTGATTAAGATAATAGCCTTGGTGGCTGCACTGTAATTCTATTCAGAACCCTAACATCCCTTATTTACTAAGCCTCTTTTCAACGAAAATATTTATTTCCCTCTGCCCCCCAAATTGGGGAGAAGACAGTTGATTAGGCCACCGTCTAGTAAACAGCTCACGCATTAATGCCCAACCTGTACCGGTAAACGAACCTCCTTGTTCCATTCAGTGCCATCAGTGAATTATCTCGACACCCGCAGCTGGAACCGAGGTTAGTGTCTCACTGCAACAGACACGACTTAAGAAAGGCTGCTATCAGCCCTCTTCCCATCCCTTCTCTCTTCTGCCTCGTCCCTCTCCCGGAGCATCTGAACTCTTTCCACCTTCCTCTCAGTTTTTGATTCTGAGCAGGATGCACAAGCAGGTCCACTCGTAATTTTGCTTCCTCTCTGTGGGCGGGATTTCAGCAGAGTTGGAGACCACACTTTTGCCTGCCTCACCGCCTCCGGTTCATGTCTCATGTCTCTTCCGTAGAAGCTAGCACTTACCCAGTACTGGTGTTCTTGTTGGTCTCCCCCACGAGCTTGAGCCTCTCCAAACTAGGGAACGAAGCATGATGTGGTAGACAGAACCTGGGCCATAAAGGAAGGCTGCTCCAACAATTACTAGTGCTTGACCTTCAGTCTTCTACAGTTGTTTCCTCACTTACATAACAGCATGATACCCACACAAAAGGTTAATGTATCTCAACATTCATTCAGTCAAATATTTATTGGGTGCCTGCCATGTGCTAGAAACCATGTGTGGGTCTGAGACATAATGATGAGGAAGAAGGAAAAAAGAGGAACTGGGCTGGGCTTTCATGGAGCTTACATGCATTGATCAAATAATCACAGACATGCTTACAACTGCCCAGTGACCAGCTGTAAAGGGGCCTGGAAAGCCTGCAATGTGGAAATCAGACCTAACAGTATCACATTAGGTCTGCAAAGGCTTAATGATTATCCTTTCCTTTTCTCCGTTCTGTTTCCACTGCCTGGCATGTGCTAGGTAAAAACATTGAATTGAATGACATGTCATGGTGATGACAGTATCACTCAGTTTCCCACTAACTTTCTGTCACTTAAAACATACTTGAAACCTATGTAACCTTACCATTATATCTGGAAGGGTGTAGGTATTGCCAGAAAGAGCCCATCTGAACTCAGATCATTGTGAAAAATTCAGAGAATATTCTAAATAGTTCTTGCCTGTCCTTCTCAGCTTGCCTTTCAGTGTGTAGGTGAACATCTTAGATGGTTCCCTTTCCTTTATTTCACCTCTCTCCTTAATATTCCACTCCCTTTCCTGGTTCTAGTTCCATCCTGCTACTCTCTCTTTAGTCAGAGCCTGGGGACACCCATTCCTGGCTTCCAAGGAGGATCACAGGGGATCTTTATATTCCTCAAAATGGAACACCTATAAAGCAAGAAATTCTCTCCTGCTACTTCTGATGGTCTTCAAAGCATAATGTTGATACTTTATTTTCCCAAAGATCCTCTCCCTGTGAAAGATAGGGAAGGAGAGGCCCTGGAAAGTGAGAGAGGTCTTCATAGACAGGTATATAAGTAGATAGATAGGTACATAAGTAGATAGATAGATAGCCTTCTATTCCAGCTGACTTTAGTTTCCTTTAAAAAGAAATTCAAAGCAACAGAAATAAAATCCAAAATTTTAAAAAATTCCTTAACAATAAGGCAAATTGTGATTGGAGGAAGATCTGAGGTATGCAGATGACACAACCTTGCTTGCTGAAAGTAAAGATGACCTGAAGCCCCTGCTGATGAAAATCAAAGACTACAGCCGTCAGAAAGGATTACACCTCAACATAAAGAAAACAAAAATCCTCACAACTGTACCAAGTGTTGTTGTTGTTGTTATGTACCATCAAGTCAGGCCAACTCATAGCGACCCCTCCTTGGGTTTCTGAGGCAGTATCACTATGGAAGTAGATTGCCCAACCTTCCTTCTGAGGAGTGGCTGGTGAGTTTGAACCGCCAGCCTTCTGGTTAGCAGTCAAGTGCCTTAGGCACTACGCTACCAGAGCTCCTTACAAATAAGTAGCATCATGATAAATGGAGAAAAGATTGAAATTGTTAGGTATTTCATTTTACTTGGATCCACAATCAACACACATGGAAGCAGCAATCAAGAAATCAGACAATGTATTTCAGTGGGTGAATCTGCTACAAAAGCCCTCTTTAAAGTATTAAAGAGCAAAGCTGTCACTTTGAGGACTAAGGTGTACCTGCCCCAAGTCATGGCATTTGCAATAGCCTCATGGGCATGTGAAAGCTGAACAATGAATAAGGAAGACCGCAGAAGAATTGATGCATTTGAGTTGTGATGTTGAAGAATATGCAAAAATAGCATGAACTGCCAGAAGAATAAACAAATCTCGGAAGAAGTACAACCAGAATGCTCCTTAGAAGCAAGAATGGCCAGACTTCATCTCACATACTTTGAGCATGTTATCAGAAGGTACCAGTCCCTGAAGAATATCAGGCTTGGTAAAGTAGAGGGTCAGCAAGAAAGAAGACCCTCAATGAGATGGATTGACACAGTAGCTCCAATGACGGACTCAAGCATAGCAACAATTGTGAAGATAGCACAGGATCAGGTAGTGTTTCGTTCTGTTGTATATAGGGTTACTATGGGTTAGGAGCTCTGGTAGCATAGTGCCTAAGCACTTGACTCCTAACCAGAAGGCTGGCAGTTCAAACCCACCAGCCACTCCTCAGAAGGAAGATGGGACAATCTACTTCTATAGTGATACTGCCTCGGAAACCCAAGGAGGGGTTGCTATGAGTCGGTTCCGACTCGACGGCACATAACAACAACAACAACATGGGTCAGCACCGTCTTGATGGCACCGAACAACAACAGTGCAAATGAACATTTTCTAGATAGGAGAAAATTGTTTCTGCATTTAACTATATGTCCTGTCATAGTAGTGGACAAATGGAGAGCACAATACATCATTTTGCACTGATTCACTCAAACTAAAATCTACCACTCATTTCATCATCACCCTGTTTCCCTTTAAAAAGTGTTTCATCAAGTTTGAGTCTTATATTGAGCAAAGGTAGGATTTAGACATCAGGATATTATTCTTCTAAATACAAAACAACAACAACAACAAAGCCATTGCTTGATTGTAGAGTCAATCTAATTCTAACTCACAGTAACCCTACAGGACAAAGTAGAGCTGTCCACAGGGTTTCCCAAGGCGATAATCTTTGCAGAAGCAGACTGCCACATCTTTCTCCCATGGATTGGCTGGTGGGTTCTAACAGCCAGCCTTAAGGTTAATAGCTGAGTATGTAACAGGGTTCCTAAAAACCTGAGTTGACAACCACGTAACACAATACTGATTATTCTTTTTTTTTTTTTTTTTTGGTTTGTTTTTATTTGTTTTCATTAATACTTAAAATATTAATTTTTGGATTTTCAAAATGTTTTCTTAATACTTTTATTAGGTACCTGCTACTAGAATTTTTTTTTTTTTTTTTTTTTTACTTTTATTGTGGTGAAAACATACACACCAATGCATTCACCAACATATAAATTTCCACATTTACAGCTCAAGGACATTGATGACATTTTTTATGTTGTGGTGCCACCATTATTACTATCTTTTTCCAAATATTCTACCAGCATTAACATAAACTCAATGCTTCCCCTTTCCCCCTCCCTCCTACTCCCGGTAACCACTGGTAATCTTTGGTATATATATATGTATATTTCACCTATCTAGCAATTTTCCCTCCCTCCCCATCCCATCCCCGCTAACCAACAAAGAAAATTTCCTTCTATATATAAACCTTTCCTTGACTTCTCACAACAGTGAACTAATACAAAATTTGTCCTTCTGTGATTGGCTTATTTTACTCAGCATAAAGTCCTCCAAGTTCAGCCATGTTACGCAGTGTTTGGCAGATTCTACATTATTCTTTAGTGTTGGATAGTATTCCATTGTGTGCATGTACCACAGTTTGGTTATCCATTCCTCTGCTGGTGGGCACTTAGGTTGTTTCCATTTCTTTGCTATTGTGAATCATGCTGCGATGAACATGGGTGAAGACAGGTTATTCTTTATGGCTTTTCTTTCTTGGTTTTCTCTGTTGATAATATAACATCTTATAAAGAAATCCTTTTTTTTTTTCCTCTTTTGTACATAAAAATAATGGATTCTTTATATATTTTGAAGTAAACCATAATTGACCTAGTTGTTTTTGCTAATAATTTCCCTTTATGTATAGGCAAATTCTTTCAAATATGATATTGTATTTATAGATTTGTTGGTATGCATCCATCTTGCAAGGATTTTTTAAACAAAATATAATTGAAGCACAAACAGCAGAGAAAGCATAAAATCCTGGGAAGATTCTTCCTAGTAGTGTTTACGTCTTAACTCAGATCATTTCTGATTTACACAGAAGGGCAAAGTCAGCCCCTGGTGATCTTTAATAGTATACAACTGAGCCTTAACATAATACTAGTCACTGGAGGGCTAAAT